AGAGAGAGAGAGAGAGAGAGAGAGAGAGAGAGAGAGAGGGAGAGAGAGGGTCGCCACACCGCTCCCGAAATGCAAAAAAAACAGAAGATTTGTTTTGGGCGCATCCACCCATGTTCTTGACGGAAGTTCATTCTCATTTTGCACATTTTGAGAGTTTGTTTTTTTCTTGGGGGGGGATGCGCAGCGTCTGACATCGAGTTTGGTGCACCAAACTCGGCACCAGACTCTGACACCCTCATTCTCATTTTGCACATGTTGAGAGTTGGGGGGCGGGACTGCACAGTGTGGCATCAGACTCTCTGACGCCGTCTCTCTCTCTCTCTCTCTCTCTCTCTCTCTCTCTCTCTCTCTCTCTCTCTCTCTCTCTCTCTTTTCGTTCCAATGAGAATGAATATTTCAGGTTGTCTTGGAAGATTCATTCTCATTGGGCATGTTTGATTCCCCTTTCTATTCCCTTTTTTTTTTTTTTGCAGAATGTTGTTTGTGTTTTTGTGTTTTCTTCTTTTTTTTCCCCGAATGAGGTACTACCGGTACTCCGAGGCTCGGCTATAATGTCTGAGGGCTCGGCTATAATGTCTGAGGGTCACCGATGATTGGGCTACCCCTCGCCCGAGCCTCGGACTTGATAGCTGGGGGGGAGGTACTGGTGTGTTTCAACTTGAAGATCAAGTGGAAACAGAAGTTGCTGCATGGCATGGCCCCTGTACAAGGATGACACGTGTAAATCGAGAAATGGTCCAAATTTTCTAAAAAAAGAAAAAAGTTGGTGCATGGCATTACAGCTCTACCGGTTTCACCTGGCACGCCTAGCAGGATCATCAGGGGCCTAAAAGTTGGTTTTAAAGAACACAGTCTGTATAGGCCTATATATGTACAAGAACTAGTAAAGCAAACGCTTGTCGACTCGGTAGTGCGTAGTCTCCTCAAAATGTCACGTTTATATCATTGCCCAAACGAGGAAAGTTCGAAGCCTAGGTATCAGAATCACTGAGGCAACAGTCGTTCCTTTTTTGGAGTCACGACAGGTACCTATCTGCAGTCAGCAACTAATTTATGGGACCCAGACCATCCTATCTTGGAGGATCCCCCTCAGACAGCCCCTACCTACTGCAGGTTCCCGAACAATTTTCTCCACCAGAGTCTGTCTACTAACACCCCTCCTACCGGGATCCCTTAAGACAATCCCCTACTGTAGGTTCCCCACCGATATCCTCCAGCAGAGCTTGTACCAAGCCAACCCTCCCTCCAAACCGTCCCAGCTAAGGTCCTTGGCCCCCCCAAAGCAGAGCCTGAGGTAACCAACACACATGAGCAGTCTAACCAAAATCCCGTACCTGCGTCCTCATTAGACTGCTAACTGTATCAGGCAAACCCCTCACAGGCCAGGACCCAACATACAACAGGCTGAGCATGGACAGTCCCCTGGGTGGTGCGCAGGCAGTGTCTGTTGTTGTTGTTGTTGTTTTTTTTTTTTTTTTTTTTTTTTTTTTTTTTTTTTTGGAAGAAACCCCCCCTCCAGTGATAGTGGTGCTGGTAAGGGCGTCAGCCCAAGGGGGGGGGGTGTCCAGCGGTGCGTCATTCTAACGCCCTGCCGCTGTCGATGCATGGGGCTGCAGATTTGAACCCGCAACCTCATACCACAATGCGCATTTCCAACCGGTGCTCTAACCACTGAGCTACATAGATGGACAGGCAACAGTCGATCCTAAAAACTATCGATATCTAAGAAGGCTATAGTCCATCAAGTCTGCAGATAGAACCTCCAAAGAGTTATTCCCACAAATAATAAAAAAAAGGGGAATAAAACGATTAAGCCTAGTATAGGTACAGAGGTCGAAACCCAACGGACACACTCTCGCGGATACCACGGATTCGGCAACCCAGCCTGCAGAGACTCAGAGCCTGGACCCACAGAACAAAGGAGACAAACAGACCCGCTAGTACGAGGGCCTACATGAATAAAACCCGATTGTCTCAAGATCCGACCCTAATTTGTAAATACCGGCAGCCATTCCTTTCAAAGCCCCGTGAATTTTCTCGAAAAAAATTGCTAGAGCTTGATCGAAGGAGTCGGCCGGGTACTAACCTCTTTTCCAAAGCTTGCACTTCACAGAGAAGAGAAAGGGAAAAGCCATTCCATCGATAGATGAGAAAGTCTTTCCTCGACGAAAGAAGGAAGTAACCACATCCATCTTCTGCTGATGGCTGGTTTTGACCGACTCACCATTAACCCCACCTTCTTGCCACAAATCCACAATCCACCTGTAAAATCAAATTGTGCGGCAAATTCGAAAACATTTCTTTAAACCACCAGTACTTGGCCCAGCTATCGATGCCGAGTCTGAAATCCCCCTGCGCGCCGATTTCTGCTGAAGCGACGGGGTACCGTTTCATTTTTCTGTTGGTTGGCGCTTCCAGCCATTGAGGTCCGGTACCCCGAATCCCTAAATCCGCGGCACATTAACGGGGAAGCGCCGCGGCCGATAGCTGCGCCAAGTACTGGTGGTTTAATATCGCAAGAAGCATCACCGTTTCACTTTTCTGTTGGTTGCCGCTTACAGCCATTGAGGTCCGGTACCCCGAAGCCCTTAATCCGCGGCACATTAACGGGGAAGCCACGCGGCCGATAGCTGCGCCAAGTACTGGTGGTTTAATATCGCAAGAAGCATCCAAACACGCGGCGCTTTTCTTTGTCAGAAGCTTGTTGATAGATTGAAGTGGTCAGCAACCCATCAGCAGATCGAAGATTCGAATTCGAGCCCTTCGGAAGAGACGATAACATAGCTTTGACACAACCAGATGTCACCTTAAGGCCGATAACGGAACAATCAAGATATAAAGGGGCAGATCGGCCTTCGCCGCGTGATGTCCTTGTGTTTGGGAACACAGTAGGCCTCAACAAACTTACCCTGACTCTTCCATGCACCGGCGACGAAGAAACCCAAAGCGGTGAACATGACGCAGTGCTTCTTCCTCGAGTACGACGAGGACGGCAAAAAGAGAAAGGACCCGCCTAGGGTGGTCATTGACGTCATGCAGATTCTTCCGATTCCGGTGGGAGAGATCACCTTCAACCAGCGAGCGTTGAACCCGGCCATCGTCGCAGGCATCGAAGCGGCAATTGAAGCATCAACTCGCCCACAGTCCGTGGATGATCCGGCTCCGTGGGATCCACCGGAGTTGGTGCTGGCTCCGATTAATCCATCAAAGGACGCGGACGAACAAGGAACCCGCGTTCTTCCAGAGGATTTCGACCCCGAACGGGCAGATGAGTTTTTCTATTACCCGGTTGCCGGTCAACATTCTTCTGAAGCTATGAAAAGAGCGGTGACGAAGAACTCTGCAGCGGTGGAGGTGTTCGGATTTCGAAATTATGATCGTGTACGGATCATTTATTTTGACGATGACCATACGAACGGGTACCATTATGTTTCCACATATGACAACACGCGAGGTGACCGTGCTATGTTGCCATCGTTCCACCAAGCCTGCGTGGACATCAGAGGATTTTGGGACAACAAGAAACGGATCGGGCCTGTGGGGAACGTGTCCAAAGGGGATCCCAAAGGCTTGGAGCACCAAAAAACATGGAGGGAATTTTTGAGGTCGTGCATCGGAAAGTCGTGTAAGAAAGCATTGTGGACCGAGTGTATCTCTGGGAAGTGGCAGCAGGACTGGACGAACAGAATGAGGGGGTACATGAATGTCGCCACATGCAAGGACCCGGTATGGATACTGGTTAAGGAGTTTTTTGAGAAGTATGAGGCGGGGGAGTTGCCGCTTCACGACAACAAATGCCCAAAGGACTTGCCCGGAAAGCAGGCAGGCCGGGTGCCGGGCCAATACACTGAAGAAGTGCAGGGGAAGAAGGAACTGTTCCATTGCATAGCGGCTAAGGACAGGGGACCAAACGCTACCGTGTCCTTCAAAGATCTCATTCCATCAAACTTCAAATGTTTTGGAGATATGACGAGGCGAGAGAAGGAAATTGCATTGGGGTTGATGATAGATAAGAAGGTCATCGCCACTACCCGACTGGTTCCTCCAGGGAAGTTGAACATGAGCAACCTCCTCGACATCATGCAACGGGAAAAATACATGATGCGTCTGTTCAACTACATCGTCTTCAAATCAGAAAACAAAGAGGGGAAAGAATGGAAGGACGGGAACTTTATCGACTACGAAGGGTTGGAGAAAAGGTTCGGTGTGAAGGCAGCCGAATGGGATGAGGAGAGGGATAGAATCCCTTTGGAATATGTCAGGAGGATTCCTAAAAGACTCGGCGGAGAGCAAGAGGAAAAAGGCCTGAAAGGAGCTGGCCTGAAGGCCACCGTGGCGTTGTATAGGGACGCACCTTTCCACTTCAAGTACTTCGTGTACCATGCGATTGGGAGAGTGGACTTGCTGACAGCAGAGTTGCGGCGGTTGAAGAACGCTGCCCTTAATCTTWGCTGGGAGAAGAAACAGCRAYGGTCGACATTGCTACCRGTCAACATGCAACCGAAGGAGTTGCTGCCTGCAGGCGACGAAATTGTGACTRCGGYCACGAACTTGAATTGCAAGGCGGCCATCYTGGATCTCGCCAACCCGAARRACTGCYTTGTATGGACGCCAWCCGATTTCGATGCTCTGCGCAAAATGATGACRAAATTGTGCGGTAATAATTGGATTSTGATTGTATTTGYTCYGCAAAAACAGCACAAGGYCGTCATGAAGCAACTTTACARCTGGRAYGATGCAGAGGTGCTACTCGGGACTTGGAAGCGTTATCTCGCRTTCGGAACGRCTGTCAGCAASTATGGAAACTGGCAAGTCGATTATAAGGACACGATGGCGGTCGTCCTGCATGCTGAGGGGGGCGAGCTCAGGAAGGTAACGAGGGCTCCTAAATCGGAGGCAGAGATAGTGGAGCTGAACGTTGATGAGGAGCAATTCAAGAGATGCACAGCAAAGCACGGTGGCGAGGAAGGAAACGAACGAGAGGTGTATGGGCGGTGGGAACGACATCCTAAACGGTCGCAGAAGTTGTGCAATTCGTTTCTGCACGAGGACCAAGGGGTGATTCTTATTGGAAAGTCGCATGTCGGACTTGTGTGGGAGCTCCTGCGCGCTGCCCATCATGTTTTCGCATGCGACTCGTCGTCAAAAGACATTTCATACTTGACAAAGGTCATCGCTCCACTTTTCATGAAATGTGGTCTCGAAGATATAATAATTGTAGGGTAGTATGGACATCGAACCTCTCAAAGATATAATAATTGTGGGTAGTATGAACATCGAACCTCTCAAAGATATAATAATTGTAGGGCCTCGCTCCACTTCTCATGAAATGTGCAAAATGAGAATGAGGGTCTCGCTCCACTACTCACCAGTCACACTTTGGTAAGGTTGGTGTCGCCGCACCACCTCTGCCATACTACCCACAAAACGGACACTTTCGTGAGGCCAGCATCGCCGCACTACTCCACTAAAGCATTCGTGTCAGAAAATCTTCAACTTTGTGAAACCACATTGAAAAATAGAAAGGAAAAAAAAAGGGCGGTCACGTGGCGAGACTCGTGAAAATGGAAGATAATCCCCACCTGCAAAACAAGGGTTTGGAAGGAGCTTTTTGCTACGGCCTGCAACCTCTAATAGAGGGGGGGGGGGGGTAAGTGCAGCCCCTACTGGTAGCCGTAACAGTTGCCTCCATCCATTGATGGGCAGTAGCACCTGCTGGAAAAGCGGGTCTAGCGTCCCTATTCAACATTTGCTCTTCATGAGAAAGATCCGCCAGTGTTGATTGCCCCTGATTGCCCTGGGGGATTGACTGTGTGGTTAGAGTTAAAAAATAATGGAAAGAGAAGCCTTTGCGCGCCACCATGGGACGCCTAAAACAGCCTTTCATTCTTAGGCTTGGACCCCACTGGCCGGCGGCGTGGAAAAGTTTTGGCAAGGAAGTGTTTTTCAGACTCCACAGGTGTTGGAAACCGTCGTGGAAAGTCGGCCCGGAAAGGAATTTCAGACCCCACTGCTGTTGGAAAGAGGTCGTGGAAAAGCTGACGGGGTGTTTCTACTCGGCTCGTGGTCTGGAAATTTTTGGCAACGAGTTTCCAAACAGTTTCCAAGGACGGCTCCAGACGAGTAGGGGGGGGGGCATGGAAAACAGTTTCCAGAAAATGGCTGGATGGCTCGAACCATGGACCGTCGCCGTGGACCGTTTTCTGGACCAGTACGCTGGCGCGGACATGCTCTTCATTTTCTCGCGCCGCACAGTTCCCACCGGGGCCTGAGGGGGGGTCTGGGCCCTCCATGCTACCCTCGGTTTGCAAACGGCATGATGCAGCATTTCAAATTCCAATTTTTTGGCGGGCTCAGGACGTAGGCCAGCCATGCAGTCGCTTCATGTCGTGCGAGTTCAGTGGCAGAAGCATCGACAGCGGCACCCTTACGTCGCCGTCGTCGACACGTCCATTAAGCCCTCCATCGTTTCTCACCGGCGTTATGCCATCGCTCATCTCCTTCGCGCGTGCAGGTTCCCTGGCCTGCCTACGGGGAAGCCATCTCGGGTGGCGTCGGCAGGCGTTGTCCGGCCGGGGCTTGCATTTCGAAGCTGTTGGCGTTGTGCCGAGCAATGTCTGTAGAACGCACAGTCCAGCCCCGGCGCTCTCACTACCTGCACGCGCGCACACGTGTCGTCCAATGCAAACCTCCCGTGTGGTCGCCATTGCACATGCCGTTCTCCGTCGTGTGCCTCCCTTGCCATCCTCAGTTCTTCGTCTGCCTCGGCAGGGCGGTCGTTTGTCCTTGCCGGAGAGCAACCCCGACAGATGTGGGCAGGGATGGGCTGCACATGACGATCTGGTCATAAGTCCTCATCCACACACTCGCCACGTGTCGGTTGTCGAACGCTATAGTCGGCCGTGTGGATGTGACCACTGCCATCGCCGTTGTTGTGTGGATGTTATCATAAACAACCACTGCGGCGGAGGCGGGCGACGAAAAAAGCCATCTTTGGCTGTTATCGCAGGCCTGCTTGCCGTCGCTATCCTCCTTTCCACAACTTTCGTGTTTTCCGTCGTTTTCTGGTGCGCGATCGTGTACTTGTGCTGTCGTCCGTGGAGATAAGCAAAGAAGCGTTGTTGTTCGAGGGCGCATTGCGTGTTTGCAGGTGTTGCCTCTGTATATATACCTTCCGCAGCCAGATGGAGTACCGGTCGGCAACAGATCCCTGTGCAGGCAATGGTGGGGGATTCCAGACCCAGGACATGCGACAGCAAGAATCTGTCCACTACTCCTCGCCTTCGCCGGCGAGTATGCAGTCCTTGAGCGGGCAGATGGAGGAGGTTGTGCGTGCGGGGACGATTCAAGTGCCTCCTGCTCGTGTGCCCTCTCCATTTGTCCATCATGCGGAAGCTGCACGTCGGCGGTTCGTTGTTCGACCCACTGCAGAAAGTTTGCACGTGAGCCCTGTGCACACGGGCCAGACGTCGTTTTGCACACAGGTTGGAGGCGGGTATGGCATGCCTTCTCCGCACATGTTCCCGTACGACAGTGGATATGGCATTGCTCCGCACGTGTACCCCACCCAACCCACTATGGAAAGGGGCGGAGTGATGAGGGACGAGTGGCAGTGGTCCCCACAGTGCCGACAACCGTCACAGCCCATGCATGGCGGGTTGTCCGCTCCCTCGCCCATGTCGGTGACGCGGTCAGTTGTCGAGCCCTCACCTTCGATGGCAGATGTGCAAGGAGAGGATATGGATGAGGGGTGGCCTGTCCACAGTGCAACTTCATCGCCTGCCGGCTTGCAAGGTCATTCCTTTGGTGGCGAGGAAGATGACTTCGTTGGCAACGATGAAGTTGAAGGTGATGGCGGTGACATTGATGGGCAAAACTCTGACAAGCGGGGAGGAATGTGCTACCGCTGGCCAGAGAGATGGGGGCAAGAATGTGGTTGGGCCCTAAAGCAGCAAGCGTGAAAACAAGCGGGGAGTCAAAGATGGTGCTGCGAAAAACAAGAAGCAAAACATCCCCTGGACCTTGGATGAGAGGATCGCGCTGTCCAGAATGATGGCCGAGGATGAAGCCCTTATGGCCGACGCCAACGGGCAGCATCAGTTCAAGAGGAGTAAGGACCGATATAAGTGGGTGCACGATCGGATGGCGGAGCAGGGGTTTCCGCACAGGTCGGCGGAGGATTGTCGTAAGAAGTGGCAGGGCATGCTGGCGGCAGCGAAGTTGATTCTCGACAAGTGTGAGAATGCTTCGGGGAAACCTTCGTACTGGGACATGACCCTTGAGGAGCGGAAGGCGGAGCAGGTGCCACTAGGCTTTGAGAAAGCTTTGTGGGAAGTGATGGAGTGGAAACTCAATCGGCCATCCATCAAGTGTGACAAGACGCTGGCGTCCGAGAACCTGCCAGGTAACACAGGGGGGGGATTCAACGAGCACCGGTCCAGCACAACCGTCATCAGGGAGGAGTGCTTCCGACGACAAAGCAACGGAGGAATCAGACCAAGCAGCGAAGACCCGGAGGACGAATACCGGCAAAACCAGGATGGACGACACGATCAACGGTGGGACAGCATTGGGTAGGGCGATGGAGGACGCGACACGGTCGTACGACGAGGGTTTGGATAAGGACGCTGCCACTCTGGCGAAGGCAATGTCGGAGGCAGGCTCGACGATTGCGGCAAAGATCGGTGACGTGGCAGACAATGATATACGAGAGAACGAACACAGACCCCTCGACGCGCTAGAACTCCTATATATATATATATATATATATATATAATGGCCAAGATGGGTGCTGGTTGTCGTTTCCCCATCCCGACATCCACAACGGGTGTCCCATCCTTTGTTCGGTCACCATCAACCGGTGTCCCTATATATATATATGTATATATATATATATATATATATATATATATATATATATATATCGTCACAAACAGAACTGCCCGGTAAACCGTAGGCAAAGAGAGAGAAGAGGACAACAAACGAGGGGCTGTGACAAACTGTTTCGTCGGAGTTTCACCGACTCATATATATATATATATATATATATACAAAGAGAGAGAGAGAGAGAGAGACACCGGTTGATGGTGACCGAACAAGGGATGGGACAACCGGCTTGGATGTCGGGACGGGGAAACGACAGCCAACACTCATCTTGGCCATTGTATATATATATTGGTAGCCGGTGTCTGCGTATATATACGTGGGCAGTCGCGGCTTCGCAAGGCAGCGCAATCGTTGGTGGGCGGTTCTTCAGTCGACGACGCAGTTTTCGCGAAACGAGGAGTGGTCTGCATGCGAAGGCAGAGAGAGAGAGAGAGAGAGAGAGAGAGAGAGAGAGAGAGAGAGAGAGAGAGAGAGAGAGAGAGACTACGTCCTTGTTAATGGCCTCCTCGCGATGAGGATGGTGGCCGGGTTAGGGTACGAGCGGGATGGCAGCCTTGCAGAGGTCGTCTTGTTCGTAAAGAAGTTGTCGAATGTTGTGTCGGACTCGTGGCTTGGCCCGCACCATGATGTCGTCGGGGACATCGTCCGCTATCTAGTCTCCGCCATCGCCGAAGAGCACGTGGGGACCAGTAGCAACAACGCGTGCTATGTGGCGCACATGGAGCCTCCACTTCGGGAGAGAGGCTACCTGCATGGAGCGGTCCAATTTTGGTGCCCGGAGGATGACCTGAGGGCTGCGCGTAACATGTGGTGGCCCGCCTTCCATAAAGAGAGAGAGAGAGAGAGAGAGAGAGAGAGAGAGAGAGAGAGAGAGAGAGAGAGAGAGAGAAAGAGAGAGAGAGAGAGAGAGAGAGAGAGAGACGAATTGGCGGTGGAGGACATGTTTGCACGAGGGCGACGATGAATTGGCGGTGGAGGACATGTTTGCACGAGGGCGACGATGACGGGATAACGCTTGACCCACCGCGATGGCCACATGAGGGTTGGACGCAACATT